AAAATTAAAAATTAATAATTAAAAATTAACCCTAACCCTAACCCTGACCCTAACCCTAATCCTAACACTATCCTAACACTAGTGCTGCCACGTTGCGGTCACCTCCACGTCAGAGCAAATCAAAGCAGCCAATCAGAGGAACCCTTCGCGCATTTGTGGTACGGAAAAAATAGACGCTGCCCGCGTCCGCCTGTACTGTCTGTGCTGGTGCGTACTGCTGGTGGGTACTCAGCTGTTAACCCCCCCCCCCCTCTCCCGCGGCCGCACACACGCTATCACGCTATCACGCTATATGGCCGGTAGGAAAGTGTGTTTACCTATCATATCTCGCGAACTATACGAGCTACGTTTCTAGAATTCTACATGCATGATGATACATGTCTTAGCAATAATCTTTGAGATCTTCGTGATATTTCTTTGCGATTAGCCTAATTAATTAGCAAATATGCACGCGCTGTAATGCCCATAAGCTATTACACGCATATCTCGCGAAGAAGTTGAGTTATAAGTCTAGAATTCTACCTGCATAATGATACATGTCTTAGCTATAATCCCTGTGAGTTTAGTCTCGATTAGTCTAAATAATTAGCTGTTATTCACGTGCGGTAATGCCCATAGGCTTATACAGGCATAGTAAGCGTATAATAATTAATGGTCCTACCATCCCATATCATTCTCTACTGTTTGAAGCCAAGGTCCTACCGTCACATATCACAATTTATTGATTGAAGCCAAGGTCCTACAATCCAATATTACTCTCTACACTTTAGGTACACTTTCCTATATACCGACCATATACGCTTACTATGCCTGTATAAGCCTATGGGCATTACCGCGCGTGAATAACAGCTAATTAATCAGGCTAATCGTGCGTCAATAAACTCGAAACTAACAGGGATTATTGCTAAGACATGTATCATCATGCATGTAGAATTCTAGAATTATAACTCAACTTCTTCGCGAGATATGCGTATGATAGCCTATGGGCGTTACAGCGCGTGCATATTTGCTAATTAATTAGGCTAATCGTGCGTCAATAAACTCAAACCTAACAGGGATGTATCATTATGTATGTAGAATTCTAGAAACGTAACTCCTACAGTTCGCGAGATATAATAGGTAAATACACTTTCCTACCGGCCATATACGCTTACATTATATACCACCACATACCATATTTCATTGGTTGGAATTACGCGCATGCTTGTAACTTTACATACACGCGTTTAATTATTTGTAAGACTTTGTCTGATTGGTTGAAATTACAAGCATGCATGTATCTTTACATACACGCATTTAATTAATTACGTGCATGCTTGTAACTTTACATACACGCATTTAATTAATTACGTGCATGCTTGTAACCCTACATACACGCATTTAATTAATTAAAGGCATGCTTGTAAATAATTAAAGACGAGCCTGATCTGCTGTCATACTCCCGGTATGACACGCTGCTCCCGGTGCACCGGAATGAGGTCAGAAGCTCCCGGTTTGTAACATTTTTCAGCCATATGAAAATTTACATCAGTAAATCAGTAAATTACTAAATTTGCCGTTGTTGTTGATGTACTTTGATTCCAGCGAACAATAAAAGGCGATAAAACGATGATTTTACATGTATACTTTATAAAAAATGGTGGTGTGCCGCGACAAACACATATCGCAGCCCGCCACAACTTTTTTTTCCTGTTTCTGCGCACTGCGAAAAAACGGCGATGGGCCTGGCTCCCTTTCTTGGATTGCTGGGCCAATGCTGGCTCCCTTTCTTGGATTGCTGGGCCAATGCTGGCTCCCTTTCTTGGATTTCTGGCTCCTTTTCTTGGACTTTCCCAACTTGGGACCTCTGCATATTCATTTGAATCGAGAACAGACAAACAGAGAAACTTCCACAAATATGTATTAGATGATAAAAATTAATTCGAATTTGTGACTGTCACTAAATACCATTTGTGTCCACCTCGCCTGCCATATACGTGCTGACTGTGATATACATCTTAGATTTGGTCTTACGTGACCGCCAACCCTCGCAATAGATTTTCACGCTATTATTACGTTGGTGTGTCGAGTAGTCCCGTGAGAGCAATCGAGCCATAATATTACAGTGTCAAATTAAAATGCATTAGTGTACGGCTGTATAGAAACTAGATTAAAATCGTATAATTACTGTATGAGCACCTCCTAGACTTCACTTGGAGACATATAGATATTTACCATTAAACGAGAGGTTGTTGGAATTGTTTGTTATATTGTGCCTACTTATACTCACAGATCTCGCAATATGGATGGTTTGGATATTGATTGGGAGTTTCCCGGGGAGACAGAGCGTGGAGGAAGTCCGCAGAGCAAGAGAAACTATCCACTCATGATGCAGGTAACTGTGGCAGTAATGACGAGAAATTACGCGTAAATACCAGGCGGAAATTGATACATTCCAAACGTAAAAAAGTGAAAACGTGAATAAAATGTTTCCGTTTGGTGTATGTTTTTCGTTTGATATTTATTTCATTTTCTGCTCGTCCGCTAATAACGGCGAACAACCTTGTCTATTCCTGACAAATTGTGCTGTTGATGGGACACGTGTTATATCACTGCGCGTGTCTTCACTTGCTGTGGTGGTCTGAATTAACGACAGTGCATTTTGCTTATACCAAAGAATCGTCAGCAAGTGGTGATTACTGTGGGTTGATATTCAGCATTCGTGTCGATGAATTGTGATATTTTAAGTTGTAAAACATTGTTAAATAAAGTACGCTATTACTCAGATAATTAATTTAGCACTTGCCATTGCAACTCCGTGTAGCTATGCATGCATAATTTCGATTATTTCGTTTTAGTCTCTATATAGGCAAGTTGTACCTGCTTAGTAATTCTTTTTCCGATTTGCAAACCTGCTAATACCAGACCCTGTTGGGGATGTACAGACCGTCATACCTCCCCAGTCCATAACGCTTAAATACATTATAATACTAGCACGTAGATGTGTATGGCATGGTTTTTGTTTCATAATTCGATTTTATGTTTTATGGTTGATTTTATCACATATAACATTCGATTTATCATATATAACATTCGATTTATCACATATAACATTCGATTTATCACATATAACATTCGATTTATCACATATAACATTTGATTTATCACATATAACATTCGATTTATCACATATAACATTCGATTTATCACATATAACATTCGATTTATCACATATAACATTTGATTTATCACATATAACATTTGATTTATCGCATATAATATTTGATTATTTTATCATATGTTCTATGCAATAAATCGACAATAATTCCGTTTGAAATGTTCACATCATTTGATTTTATATCAGAAAAGAGAATCAAACCATTCGATCCTAGCATCAAACCATTCGGTTTTGGAATCGAATCATTCGATCTGCAAATCAAATCATTCGATCTGCGAATCGAACCATTCGATTCTGGAATCGAACCATTCGATTCCAGAATTGAATGATTCGATTCACAGATCGAATAATTCGATTCGCAAATCGAATGATTCGATTCCAAAACCGCCAGCATTATTCGCATCCGTGAATCGCAATCATTCGATCCGTGAATCATCAATCGATCCGTGAATCCAATCATCGATCCGTGAATCCAATCATTCGATCCGGTGAATCCAATCATTCGATCCATGAATCGAAGCATTTGATCCGTGAATCGAAGCATTCGATCCGTAAATCGAATCATTCGATTCGTGAATGTTATATGGGATAAAATCAACCATAAAACAAAAAAATCGAATTATGAAACAAAATACATGCCATACGTGTGATCGTGAGT